AAGTGTTTTGAATGGATTAAACATTAAAGATTTTCTCACATTCAATAAAATACCGAAAATCTATGGAATTCCTAAAATGCATAACACACCTGTTAAATTCAGATATGACTGAGCTTCTGACAAAGATCTTGAGTCACATAAGAAAACATTCTATGAATTATCGCAATGTAATTTTCCATAGAAGCAGAATCAAACTTTTTTGGGCAGTAAGCAACAATGCAAACATTGTGAGAGAAATTAACGGAATGGGTGGAGAAAGGAAAATTTTCTCAGCACACTTTTCCAGTCTCTTTACAAGCCTACCACATACAGTGGTAAGAAAGAATTTGAATAAGCTTATAGAACTTTTTATGGGAGGATACAGATATATATAAGTACAAAATTATACAGTGGTATACACAAAACGACTACAGCCAAAGAAAGTACTTCTAGAGAGAAAATTTATTATATATGAAAGATATGCTTCTTGATAACAGCTACTTGTGCTTCGCAGGTATATTTTATAAACAGGAGAGAGGTATACCACAAGGGACATTGTGTAGCCCTCAAATGGCAAACTTGACTTTAGCCTACATGGAATTTGAATATATGGGGAGGCGAGCTATAAGTGTAATGTTACGAATAAATGCGCTTTCAACAACACATACAGATATATGGATGATATCCTATATATCTTGATATCCTATATATCTCGCCTGGGAAAGCGTAAATTTGGGGTTTCACTTTCTGGCCACCTCACGGAAAAGGTGCCAGCGACCTGCCGACGAGACCTGCCGCCAGGTCGAGGGGATTACTACCGGCCCTGATGATGGAGCACCGAGGAAGTCACATACCCGGTGTAGTTCTTAGCCCCGCAACCGGTTATGTGAAAATTATTTACATTAATAATTTAACATCATTGATACACTTTCATTATTTTCTTCAACTGATCACCCTTTTCTTGTTTTCTGGAAAATAAGATATTCCAGCATGCAAACAAATACAAATTTAAGCTCAACAGATACGCAAGGAGATGCTTTTAGACATAACAACAAGAAATTTTCGAAGAGAGCTATGCGACTATAGCCACAGATCTAACAGCAGACGCTTTCGCGCTCGGACGCTAATTTCGCTGCCTGCGTCGCGCGCTTGCACCCCAATCCCGTGGGTCACGACTGATGGTGCTTGGTATGCCACGCACAGACACAGATACAGACAGACAGACACACACACACACCACACACCACAGACACACACACACACACACACAACACACACACACACACACACACACACACACACACACACACATACATACACACACACCTCATTCTTTTATATCCGTAACAAAGCTGAAACCGATTCAAAACAAAAACTGTAAACAATAAACAATGTACACATACAATATAGCTCGCATTTTTTTTAAAAAAAGACGCTAATCGAAGTAGACTTACTCGAGGTCGCGTGAGTCTACTTCGATTGTTTTTCAATTTTTTGCCTTTGAAAGACGAGGAAATCCTGTCATTTTCTCTTTTTGTCAGAGACAAACTTTCGCATCGCTTTTCGCCCAAGCTTTTAAAGGGCTTATAATGATACAAAGACCAAGCACGAATCAATGCTTCTCGGCTCAGGTCTCCTCAAAAACCTAGCCTTGGTAAGCATTCGTGTAGCACAAAACTTCGAAATTACGATACATTCTTTTAAGTCGAGCAAATTTCTTGGATGAGCAAGTGAAATGGAAGGAAATTTTGTCTCTCATTTAGAGGCATGGATTTCGTGACCAACTGTCGAAAACGAAAGAATATATAAGAAATTAGAGAAAGCGGGCTTCCAGATACCATAAAAAGTTTTACCCCGAAAAAGTAGCGTTTGCAAAGTGGTGAGAAACTTGCATTCATCATAAACCAACCTAATACTTTGAGGACAGTATTCTTTCGGCATCCTATCTGTGCACATTATATTAGGTTATTCCGAAAGTAATTTCGTTGCAAACGGACGCCACATTTCTTGGAACGAAGATTTCTAAGACATCTAGGTAGCATTCGAAGTTATGAAAACGTTGCAGCAGAGTCAATAATCTTTCGGAAAATAACCAAAATCTGCGACCCAAGCTTTTTGTGACGGTCAAATTTCACGATTTTTCAAAACTTTCATATCAATCCGCAGAAGGAGTTCAAGAAACGGTTAGATAGAGCAAACCTTATAGGACACAGTACAACTTTTTTCTCCTTCATATATCCCCTCAAAATTATTTAATAAAATTCCAACTGATTCTACCAATTTCCGTACTTGTTCAACTCAAGCGTCGTAGAACATCGAAGGAAGAGCAGCTCGAGTGCTGTTTGATGCAGCTTTTTTTCTTCTTTCTAAAAGGTGTTCTTGGTTTCCGATTTGTTCAGTCTTCGGGATAAAATCATTACAACTCCTGTTTTTGAACGCGCTCAAGGCTGTACCCGAAAAACTCAAAATTGATATTTCGAATCCGTAAACTCTCATTTGCCTTATAAAAGCAATATTAAGTCATATACAATCTTGGAAGTTTCAAATTCCGAATAATTACTGGTGTTTAATGCGATTGTGGCTGACGTAGGCTTTCCAAAGTCCGATGGTTTTAGTAAAAAAAATCTTTTAAAAAATTACGGCGAGCTATAAAAAGAGAGCAGAGTTGCAGTGTATCCCATAAGGTTTGCCCTATCTAACCGTCATTGGAGCTCTTTCTGGGGGTTGATATGAAAGTTTTGAAAAATCGTGAAACTTGACCGTCACAAAAAGCATGAGTCACAGATTTTGGTTATTTTCCGAAAGCTTATTGATTCTGCTGCACCCATTTCGTTACTGTTAGAAAGAAGATGAAATGCTGCATCGAATGCTACCAAGATGCCTTAGAAATCTTTGTTCCAAGAAATGTGGCATCCGTTTGAAAAAAGCGAAATTACTTCCGGAATGACCTAATATATAAAGCATAAAGTTTGGCATACAGAGATAACTATATGTTACTTATAAGATTCTTTCTACGTAAAACAATTGAGCTGACTTGGCACACATATGTTTTTAAACCCATAGATTACCTAAGGCTATTTTTTGAGTTGACGCATTGGGCCCTTCTATCAACTTAATGATTTTTGGCTTCTGCGATCAAAATGATCGCTTCAATCGTTAGTAAACAATTTCATACTTTCGCAATGACGGTAGAGCTCATCATCTCGCGGTGACGAGGAAAAGGTGGCTCATTTCGTCTCGTGGCAATTGAGCTTACTCCATAGTGAGCTCTTCTGCCCTTTTCCTATCGCAGTATGGATTCAGCAAGGAGAAAGAGGCAGGGGGGGGGGGGATGTGGAGTCGGAGAATGAATAGGAGAAGTCTTGATACAAGGCCTTTTGCATTGGTTAGATCAGAACTTGCTTTCTGATCCGCTCTCGGACTCCAATAAAGACCGTGGTTAGGGCCGGGATGCCAGTTTGTATGCTCATGTTTACCGTTTACAACATACACAAGCAATATTTAGTAAAACTATCACAATCGCTTTCGCGATGAATGATATTACGATGGAAAAAATAGAAGAGTGCGCACAATCGAATCCATGCTCCTTGCTTGTGAAACTGCTAAACGAAAAGCACATGGGGGACCTAAACTGGAGCATCTGCTCAAGTCCGTCATGCCCTTGCACTACCATGTACAACGATTGGATGAAGCTCTTGATTGTATTTATGTGCAACTGCCCAGACTCTGCTTGAAGGCACCGTCCACCTTAGGCTCCCGCCAGAGTGCCGAAGTTATGCCAGCGCTACGCCAGCATTTCGATCGATACACGTGTATTTCGTTGGGGCGGGGCTAGCTGACGTCCCCAACGAAATAAACGTGTATCGATCGAAATGCTGGCGTAGCGCTGGCATAACTTCGGCACTCTGGCGGGAGCCTTAAGTTGAGGGTGTTGAGCTTTTGCCATCATATGGTAGTAGGGCCCCCCATCAAGTCAATGCCCAAGTCGCGGCGCAGAATATCGCTTTAGAAGCGAGAAAATCGCTCCGGAATGACAAATATGCACGGGGACTCCCAGACGGCACCGTCCTCCTCATCCATGCCTGCCAACCCGTGCGCGTCCAGCCAATCACCGTTCCGGAAAGCCGGCCTGCGGGTTCTCCGAAACGGGGATTGTTGGGGTTTTCGCGGAATCTCGATTCTCGACCTCATATTCGGAATCACGGACAAGAGAATGCCCCGGAACGATCAAAACATGAGAGTCGAGAAATGGGTGAAGGGTGCCGCCTTCAAAAATTTCTCATAATTCCCCACCCGAAAAATCCGCAGCAAATAAGGGAGGCTTTGGAAACATTATGCTTTCAAGTTGATCGAAGTGCCCCATTAAGATGAAACGTACACTGCCTTTCAAGGCAGTGTACGTTTCATCTTAATGGGGCACTTCGATCAACCATCCCCCTTGTTATTTACCCATTGACGTGGACCCTCAGTGGTCCACGCACTTTTTGCTGCCACGAACGATGTGAACCACCGATCGCCCATACCCCTTGAAAAGTCACATTATTTGTAAGTCTAGTATTTTTTCACATATCAATATTTTTTACAATCGTTTGCACTCTAAGGACCTTTAGGCTCCGTCGTTCAAGGGTTAGTTTATAGTCGTTTACAAAACAATCTTGCATTTCGTAAATGACCACAAAACCTACCCACACTGAAGGTTGTGCAAAATCGCATCGTCCCACAGCGCCACCAGCAAAATCAGGCGTAGTCGTCAATGAGTTAAGATGCTACGCAAAAATTCATTTTTGTATAACACAAATTTATCTCCTTACGCAAAGACTGGCAAGCACGAAGGCTTCGCATTTTGGAAGTGTTCAACAAAACACCGAAAAATTTGAATATAAATTCTATAGATCACTTGCTGTTATGTGAGCGTTGAAATTCTTATTTTATACTCAATTCAAAAACTTTTAAGCAGCAAATCACTCATTACTACTTTCATTGATGTGTAACCTAAAACGTATACAAAGCTACCATTGCAGCTTTTGTTATCGACTTCGTTTCAAATCCTAAAGGCGGAGCCGGTTATGTGACATATGGAGACTCAGTTGGTTGCCCTTTTCAAGAAGAAAAAGTTTTGGAGTACGATTATTTGAGAGAAAGCTCCTACGAATTTCAGGTAAGGATGAACAAGAAAAATGTATTAGGTTGGCACAAGTAAGAAAGTAGTGCAACTTCTTATGTTTTGTCTTTTGATGTAGCGCTATTTCCTGGAAACCTAAGGATTATGATGTAAACTACAAATGCAGACATTTTTGCCGCTATGTGAGAATGTAGTTTTGAGGTATAATGGGAAAAGTTTTAGATTGCGTCAGATTTTGCTGAAACTTGGCCTATTATGGTTATTCGACATAATGGTTACACAAAAAACCGCTTTGCATGAAAAGGCGTCTTTCGTAAAGTTAAAGAATGAATCTCATTTTAGTGACAAGGACGCATTTGACTTGTTCTACGTCTAAAAGGCGCCTTAGTCTGATTTGTCTCTGATTCGCTTCTTTTTTACTCATTCTAATGTGTCAACTTCTAGCTACATACTGCCTGCAATTCCTTTTCGATATGCTTAATTCAGGTTTTGTACGGCTTCAGGTTTGCCAAAAAACCGTGGAATCTCGACTTTTAAAGGTTTCCAAAAAATGCTTGAATTGTTTCTACATGATCATAACAAACGGTTTGCGCAGGCTTGCAGCTTACGTCACAATCTACATGATGCCAGAGAATGAGAGCGCTATTTATGTAGAAAAAAGTTTTGAGAAAAGATGCAAAACTTATGTGCCAAAATAATAAATATAAAATGCAATTACAAGAACCATTGCAGCTTTCAAGAGTGCGCGTGACAATCCGAATTATCTTATGTCATGCAGTAAATTGATTGTGAGACTTGCGAAACCACTTCAAAACCAGCAACCACACTTTTCACTCGATTATTCATCCTGTTGCATTCGCTTGGCTTGCAATAAACAGCTCAACGGCTCAGCAAGATAAAGACAGCTGAGTCAGAGAAAGGAGAAAAAAGGAGAAAAAAACGAAGATACGACATAATTCTGCGGTTCAAATTTATCATTCGTGTATCCTCAAAAAGCAACATTTACCTGTAGAAGGAAGCCTGAACTGTTTTGAACGACGTAAACTCTGGCTATTTCTGGATTCAACATAACAAAGTAACATCATGGATGGATAGAAACGACTATGAGAAGCAGCAAGAGCAGAGCGAGCTCCCGGCAAAACCGGTGAACTGGCAGCGCCCATCGCTTGCTCAAAGGGAGTAGCTGGGCAAACTTGTTCTTTCAGGTCTAGCGTTTTTAAACCTTGCAGAAGTGCCGAGAAATCTGTGCTTTACAGCATCCAAGAATAATAAAAACTTGCTCTTCGTACTCATAGTACTGCAAGTAAGGCGGGAACAGAGACTGCATGTTTTTGGGCGATCAGCCGAAGTTCGGATGGATTACTCATCCATTTTGGAGGCCACCGGCTGTTTGATTCCTACAGCCAATCATACCTCGAATTCCTGGTTATATCCCAGCGTGTGCACAAAATTTTCTTTGAAGGTTTCAGTACAGTGTTGCATTCACCGCATTGACAACACCCATGTATGTTGGAATGCAAAAGCTGATTAGTCGAGCCACTGCCTTTGAAAAATACACACAGGTGTACCGGCATCCCCTGGTGGGCGAATTTAAAACTGAACTGGAGCAGGCCGGTGCAACAGAAAACTGCACCTCAACCCTCCTACAGGTAAGTAGACAAACAATGGGAAATTACCGCTGTCAGTCATTTCCTGGTGAGTGACATGCCCAGAAGTGTTTGAAAATTTTACTTGCATCGCTTTTCCACGCTCACCTAAACCCAAACCGAGCATAGCAGCCATAGCAAACAACATTCAACCGTGACAAAATCTTCTTTTGACAGAAAACATTTTACGACACAAAAATGACAAGCAACGTAGAAAAACGAAAAAACATGCGCAAAAGTTAATTGAGGGTTGAGGTGCTTTTTTTGCGACCGGCCTGCTCCAAATCCGAATTCGCCTACCGGGTGTGGATGAGCACCAATATAGAGAGCCAAGGATATCTGATTTCTGGTAGACAAAGGTAGCGTTCAAGTAATTTGGCACTGTTATTGCAGATACAAGAAGTAAGAGGCGCACACGAAGGTGCGTAACGTTTTGCTTCCAAAATTGCCCGTGCGCTAGCACAAGTCGCTAAGAAAGCGACGTGCTAGGACATTGTAACAGCGTCGACACTATACACGCTATCAGTTTACAATGGAAGTTTTGGAATATCGGTGCGTTCAGCTGAACAGGGCATTAAAATTTGCTCTTTTTTGCCTAGATTGCACTTTCCTTTCTTGCGTCTTTCATTGTAGCTCCTTCCCATACAATGACTTTTTAATAGCTTTTTTTTGCTCCAAGAAGATGAATTAACTTTACACTTTTGCATACATACTGCCACGACTCTCCTTTAACAATTATCTCCGAAACAATTGCAACTCATATTCGCACGCATCAAGCAAACGGCTCCATGCTGAAAGTTACTGCTAACGGTTCACCAATCGAGTTCTAATGGCAAATACAATGCACCATCAATGTCATCAATTCTCACTTGAGCTTACGGCACTTGTTAGTTAACGATGATCATAGCTCTGCCGACTTTTTACTAAAAAATGACGCCTTATATCAAATAGTGACTAAAATTCATATCAACTACAAATCCAAAATTTCAAATTTTGACCGAAAAACAATTCCTTATATCTCTGTTTCTGACAAGGAAAGGATAATTTGTCGAAGTGACGTTTCCATATGAAATGTATACCATCTTATAAAGCAAAAAACGCTGATTCCACTGCTTTCCGTATCTGCAAAGCGCTTCTGGGAATGAAGTTATGAAAGTTTTTGAGGTGAAAATTCTATTTGGCTAAGGTAAAAACAGGTGTTGGGATCCTTTCGGCGCTTGAAAGGAGATTTCGCTTGACTGACATGAGCTTATTAGATTGAAGGGATTTATTACATAAAAGGCCCTGGTAGTAATTGTGGCCCCATTTAAGCACACGGATCAAAGTTCTGAACTTATAGTAGCCGCTCTTTCAAATTTTTGCATCGAGAAATTTTCATAACTTCCCTCCCAGAAGAGCTTTGCAGATATGGAAAGCAGGTTTAGAATCAGCGCTGCATGCCCTATAAGACAGTATCATTTCGTATGGGAACGCCACTTCGACCAAGTATTCTTCCCTTGTGGGTATCCTAATGGTAATCTGTTCATCTTCCAATCTAACTCATATCCAAAATCGCCCTGAAACCCGCTTCTGACAACACTGTTTATGCTCCACCAAAGCACATCCCGTCATATTGGGAATAGGTGAAACTTTTTAGTTATTCAGTTGTCAAGCATTTATCGTTTTACGCATGTTTACTGATCTTCTCTTTCGGTAATCCCACGTAAAAACAAGTTCTGTAATTCGAATTTGTTGGGCCTCATATGTGTTGGTCGCCGGTGTCTAGGTAGATAATCGGATGTGCAAAATAACGATATCCCGGATGATTACGTAGAAGTAGCAGGATGTGTATACTTGCATAAGCTGGTTCTCTTTGAATTTGCCATCTTTTACTTCAAACAAAACTACGCTCCCTCTTACTGAACGCATTAATATCAATTAATCTATTAACAACAATCAAGTAAGCCAATTTCATTATTTTTTCACAAAAACATCCCAAAGCTTTTGTTAGTGTTAAAGGTATGTGAGTATTTATATTACACACGAGCTTTATAAGTCATCTAGAAAATATCAAAAAAACTCACTTCCAATTCATACTCATTCCTTCAAATGCTATTTAGGTGTCCTCAATTTGTAAACATTTGAGTGAGCTCTTTTTTCACTTCCGAAGTGCTGATGCAAACCTCCGAAATTCCGATAACTCCGAGACTTCATCGAAGTTGGCAAAATTGGCGATCATAGAAAAAGACCAAGGAAAGCGCGTCCAAAACATCGCAAACGCGAATTAAGACACATTTTTGCAAGAAAGCGACGAGCTTTAGCTTGTCCAATTGCAATAGAATTCTAATCTGCATTTTGTAGTTTTCGAATGTATAGAAAAAACTTATAAATGAGTGACGCAGAACTCTGAGAAGGATAAATTTGTTAGATTACGAACTTTTCGCTTGAATTAAAGGTTATTTTAAGATTGAAACCTATAGTGTATAGTGCCGAGAAGTTGATTTAGAGAATAATCAAAATGCGAATCTGTCGAGAGCAATCTAAAAGAATTCTAAATGCGTACAAGTGCATCGTTTACTACTCCTAACGTGAAGGCCAACCATGAGAACAAAGGTTTCTCCGAAAAACCTACATGGGTAAGACTTGAGAGAGAGATGTGTTTGATATGTGTATGTGTATATGTATGTGTGTATATGTATGTGTATGTGTAGATATATGTATATGTGTAATTATGTTTATGTGCATGTGTATGTATAGTACCAACACGTAGCAATAGTTAGGAGGCAGAAAGACGAGGGGGAAAGGGAAAATGCAGGTCAGGCATACAAAGAGCAATTCAGTATTTTTGATCAGGACGCACCAAGCTGTCAAAGTTCCCATCAGAAGTTTTGGACGTTGGCCGCAGCTGGGACAGCGCTGAGAAGGCATTCTAGAGGCAGCCTTATCTACTCAGATAAGCGAATGAGCAAAGTTGGATCTTTGGATTTGTCAATTAGCGGTGTACGCCCCTTTCGTTCCAGCAACTATGCCTATTTCTAGCTCTTAACCTTGTGCGATTGAACTTGTACAAAAAGATATTAGAGCCAGGACTTTGCCAACATACTTTGTCACATGTTCTTTCAAAAAGTTTCAATACTTGAATGCATCGTCCACCCAAACTCTCGACTTCCATGTTATTGTCGTTTCGGGGGCCTTCCTATGTCCCTGATTTCGAATATGGAGTCCAGAATCCGCGAAAACCCCGACAATTTCCGTTCTGAAGAAATCCCAGGCTGGTTATCCGAAACGGCAATTGGATGGTCTTTTACTAGAGGAGGTGGTACCGCCTAGAGATCCTCGTGCCTCTCCATTATTCCGGAGCTATTCTCACTTCCGAAGCGACATTTTGCGCCGCAGCTTGGGCAGCTTACTAGGAGGCCCTACTCTCCTATGCCGCCAAAAGCTTAAAACTCTAATTTAGGGGACGGTGTCTTCAATGTCCAGTTCTAGTAGAAATTCATTTTCATTGATGCTTGTCCCATCTCATCAATAATGTATTGAAATATAGTTTTGAAAAACATCCTAAGCATCTGCGATAAGTCAACACAGCTCCTTAAGCATGCTTTTGCCAAAGATCTCAAAAGTTTGAATATCTTGAAAGTATACGAAGCATAAATTTTTCGAATTGGTGGTGCAGAACACCTCATCGAATTTATATGAGACTGATTAAATCGCATTGCTGAAGAGCTTGAAACAGCTGGTGTCATAATGTAGCTGGGATCAAATACATCGTTGGGTAAACGCGAGTCAGTAAGGGATTCCAGAGTAGACCGTTAATTAACAAGTGCGAAGTTTTTGCACCTTGACTGGTTACTTAGCACGCGAAGTCGATTAGACAAACGGTAGACGAGGAAAGATGTTAGTCATAGACAAGGCGAAGAATCCAGAATTTGTACGATTTCACTTGCGGTTGTCCTCTATCAAAGTATGGCCGTAGCCGTAGTAAACCCCCCATCATGGCATCTTTCTCGACGCGGACCGGCGTTGATCTCATCACGCCTCAGTCTAGCATCCGGCGAGCCATTGATCTGGACGTGGATCGCTTCCGAGGCATTACAATCAAGTGCGTTCTTGAAAAAGGAAATACTTGAGCTGGTTTGGTCAAACGGGTAAGCGATTGGACTTACACGCGCGCGGCCGTGGTTCGAGTTCGACTAGCGACACACATTTTGATGCATCGCTGGGCAATCTTTGATAGCGGCCACTACGCAATCGGTGATGACCGCTATCAAGGATTTCGCCTAGCAAATGCACGGATAAAACAAAAACACAATTTGTGACGAAAATTTTATGAAAAAACGAAATGGTTGCAGCGTGAATTTAATGAAATGAATAAATGAGTTTTTGTTTTGGACAGCTAGCGAAAAAAACCAGTAAGATTTACAAAAAGAGAAGAATTTGTTTTCTTGTTATCCTCGCCAAAATCAGCTGTTCATCGATCTTCTTTTTTTCGCGCGCGGATGTGCAGTTTTACGCCGATTTTGTGTGCATTTTTAGCCTGACTGATGAGTATCGTAAGTTACTCAGGAGCAACTTACAGGAGTCTTGTCTGCGTCTCCTCTTTTACACACTATTCACCACTCTAACATCAGTTCACGTTTAGGTCACTTGAACGTGAACTGATGTGGAAGAGTTGACTGCAGCAGGTGGACAGATGGTCAACTATCAGTTCACTCGCCATTCTTAAAGCATGGGAAGGTAGGCGGTCACCAGTTCACCTGACGTGAGGTGAATTGATGGGATAAGTTTCAGTTCACCTGAACTGATCGAGCTTTACTACGGGCCTATGTCTTTTGACTCGAAGTCAAATCAAACTTTTCCCAACAAGTGTACGGGGCTTATTAATTGAAGTGTTGGGTGCGCCAGCATCTTCACTTTCGCACTGGACTCTGCGTCTCTTCAGCGGAACATGCTCCCTAATCACTTGAGGCTCTGCCTTCCCCAAGCTCGCATTGGGAAAGTGCTCGGAGAGCATGTTCTGCGAAAGAGACGCAGAGTCCAGCGCTGGAATGGAGATGCTGGTGCACCCTGCACTTCATTTGATAGGCCCTGTATATCACAATGGCTGCACGCGCTTTTCAAATCTGTCTTCTAGAACTGCTGGACAGCAGTGGCGGACCGAGGGGGGGGGGGATGGCGAGGGGGGGGGGCGCCCCCCTCCGAGAAGCCACTGCTGGACAGTTTGCTAGGTGAAGTCACAGTCACATGCTTTTATTGAAATTTTTTTGCCTGAGTCTTGTAATTTATTTCAATATAGAGTAAGCCAAGTAACGATTCTTTTCTCTGTATGTTCACAATGGAAGAATAAATTGCAGATCTAGGACACAAGAAAAAATATTGCATTTAGGTGAAAAAAAAACCGAATTTGACGACGCATTGTGAAATAAAAAGTGTCGCCCCTCGTTCATTCCATGTTTCAACAGACATAGAAGACCGTTTTGCAGTTAGCTTCATGGGCCGCTCAATTGATACACATTTTGTTGAAAGAATCCATTTTAAAAAGAAAAGCTTTTTTTATGTATATTGAATGCAATACTATTCGGGTTCAATTTTTCAAATAAGCTCTGTAGACGGCAAAAATTGAAAATGTGGAACACGAAAAAGCATATCAGTAAGGCACTCTGGTAAACGTTCTCTGGACATTTTCTCATTCTCTGCACATTTTCGAACGCCAATCTTTTTGAATCGAAAAGGGCTATAAACGGGACTGCAGTTTTGAGCCAAGGGAAGAATAGACATTTTATGAAGTCCAATAAAAAAAGACATTAGAGCTGATTTGTCTTTGAAGAAATTGTGATTCTTGATTGTTTACTAAAATGGATGGACCACCAAAGCACTCACTGCTTTGAAATTTAGCAAACAAAAGTGTTTAGTATTTCTTTGAAGTTAGAGTACTCACAATCAAGTCTGTTCAATTCAAGGCGACAATGATCTTATCACACACATACGCATGCACACATGCATATACACAGATACACATACACAAATGCCGTACACCCATACACATACTAAATTGGCTCGCGAGTTCTAGGACATCTTCAGACTAGATCTGCTATTTCTCGGAACCTAATGCATATACATCCAATAGAGATACCATTCGATAAAGCAAAGCAAGTTCTACAAAATATTATGCAAAGGTTCGTACCAGCTTCGACCCACCGTAAATCTGCATCCAGAATTTGATTCGTACTAAAGGCTCAAATTGAAAAACATATCTTTGTTCATGAAATCCTACTGATCTCCAAGTTGCTCACGCAAAGAGCGCACCACATCAGACACTCATATCTAATATCCAATACTTCTTTATCTAAAAATAGAGAAGACGAAAGTTCTTATGCTTATACGAAAAAGAAGCTACGCTATTCCCACTCATGTAATTGTATAGTAGAACCTTTGAGGTATAAAGGTAAATTTTCAGCTTCCTACAGGTAATTGTTTACAAAAAAGTTATCGAAACTAGCTCTCACTCGGTTATTCCATGCTAAAATCAATATTTTTTCGAAAACTAGGGCTTGCGGAAAGCTAAAAACTTACGGTTATACTTCCAAGGGCGTATTACACAATTAGATGGGTGGAAACATCAACATATGAGTGTCTGATGTGGTGTGCAATTTGCGTGAACATGAAGATCCGTAAAATTGTTTTAAACGAAAATGTGAATTTTCATTTTTAGAGCCTTCAGTGCGGCTCAGATTCTGAATGCAAACGGTGGGTCGAGGCTGGTGCGAACTTTTTCATACCATCTTGTAGTGCTATCTTTGCTCGAATGGTGTCTCTATACGTACATGCATTATTAGGCTTGAGAAATAGCAGATCTAGTCTAAAAATATCCGAGGACTTTCGAGCCAACCTAATACATACTTATGCACACGTTTACATACACACATGCACATACACAAGAATATACAAGGCTTATTAATGGCAGAACCGGGTGCACCAGCATTTCCGTTCCTACGTGGCCGATTCGCCTGGGTTCTACACCTCTTTTGCGAAAATGCTCTGCAATCATTTTCTCATACCTGATTAGCAATTAAAGCTCCGCCTTTTCCACCTCGTTGTGGGAAAGTGGCAAGAGACCATGTTCGCGAAAGAGCTGCAGAGTTTAGGCGAGGCGCCAGCGCGGGAGCGGGGATGCTGATACACCCTACTCCCAATCAATAAGCCCTGTACAAGGTCAATTCCTTAGATAAAACACAGTTTAGGTTCAACTAGAAATGGGAGACTTCAAGCCGTTCAGCTTATCCGCAACTCCTGAACTAGTTCCATATATTGCTGGTCCATTAGCAATTATCGAAGGAATCGCCAATTGCGCAGGAGCTGAGGTTGAGTCTGTCGCATTCCGCATACACTTTGGATGTTCGATTTTTTCAAGTACATCGACGGATACTATGAGGTTAGCTGCAAAGATATGGACACTATACCAGATCTGATCATCACTGATTGGATAACATCCTTCCCTATAACATCGGATAAGCTCATCAGAAAGGTGCCGGATCTACATTCTTGGAGTTTTCATACACCGGGTTGTGTAATGAGTTTGCTCGCTTTGCTTTTATTTTCCCAATACTTTGTACGTACTTGGCAACTTTACATATGCTCTATCCAACTGTTACCAAAGCTTTTTTAAAAGTCCGAAACGAAAGTTTCAAAAGTAGCTAAAATTAGAGTAATAATGCATGGGTTGGACATTGTGGCGGCTATTCGAAAGAACATTAGAGAAATCCGAGCGCAAACATCATTGCGGGAAATTTTGGCGTCACTGCTGCACTGCTCTGAGAGCTTTTGCACTAACTTGGCAGGGACTGCATAAATCTGAGGGAGAATGTAGCCATCAAAAGAAGGATAAAAATCTGAATCGAATGATGCCTAAATCGTTCGTCGAAGTGTGTTCTGTTAGTTTTAGTGAGCAATGAAGGTGGATGGAAGAGATTTTAGCATCAAAATCAAAATTTCATAAGAAGAAGGAATCGCCGACAGGAAGGCTTCAGACGGTTCTTGGATCTCTGCAAAGAAACCGAACGATTAAAGACCAATCTCAACTGCCAACATCCTCTGTTCATATCGTTATGTTTTTGTAATCAATTCACATTTAGTACGGTATAGCTCATTGTCCTCGCGACCAATCATTTTCGGAGCGGCTGACAGCGCGAAGCCTTAGTACGGACTCTGATCAAGATGTGGTTTGAAAAGTAAGCCCATTAGTACTGACGGAAGCACCATCTAACACCTCATGCCCAAAAGGTCACAACCTCTTCAACGAAGCGAGGTAAAACGGATATGACTTAACATCTTTGCTTCAATTCACTAAAAAAGTTTAGCTGAAATTTTGAAGCTTTCAATGGAAAACTGGAGGTTTTGGAAAAGCAACTTTCAGGCTCCTGCCAGACTGCCAGACTGCCGAAGCCACGCCAGCGCTGCGCCGGCGCCGAGGCAGCGCCGAGCTGTCCCGGCGCTGTTTCTATCGATACACGTACTTTTCGTTCGGGGCGGGGTTAGCTGACCTTTTTCTCAGCCAGGTAAACGCACCGACTATTGACCAAAATTTCTGTCAAAAGCTCCGGTAGCGCTTTGCCGGCACAGAGTCAGTTACCCCCCCCCCCCCCAAACGAAATGCACGTGCATCGATCAAAACAGCGCCGGAACAGCTCGGCGCTGGCGTGGCTTCGGCGGGAGCTTCATACAACTTGATAATTCGTCTTCTTTTAGCTCAGATTGCTCAAGTTTAAAACATACATTAAAACATGCATTATCCGAGTGCAGCTGCAAGATGATGTTATGTTAGTCAGCATCCCAAATGATGACATTAGTAAACAGCTGGTGGTAAACAGGCTATACGGTCGTTACATAGAGACAGCAATGCGTGGTATGTCCGCAGAATAGATTGGAAACTGTGCAAAGATGGGGGTTGTGTATAAACATGAGTGCCTAAGCTGGAATTCACACCACATAGGAGAGACAAGATAAATGATTAGCATGGGCGTAAAAAAGCGCCTAGCGGGTGCGTAGCAAGGGTACCCGAACAGCCGACTGCTGCCGCAGCCAGCGCGAAATTTTTGAAATTTACTTACGTGGGCTATAAAAATGTGCAAATGACTTGCTTATTTTTGTAAACAATTAAAATAATTTTTTAAATTTTTTAGAAATTCAAATTAGCCCTAAAAAATTTTTTTTCGGGGACGTGGCTGACGCCATGCCCCCTTTTTCCCAATTTTAGGGTTTGGGGAACCGCAAAAATTTTGAGAAGCATCCCTAAAACTTTTTCGGAGTGCGTGGCTAACGCTAGGCACCTTCATTAGAAAAAAATTTTTGCCGCGTCTCTCCCCGCCCCCCCCCCCCTGGTCCGAAATCCTGGGACCGCCACTGCTATATTTATATCATTTTAAACAGCAAAATATTCCTAGTTTATTGACAACCATGCAAACTGTTGTGTCCTCCGCGTCGGACACGTCGACTCTTCGTCCTGAGGTAGCACACGAGGAACAAAGAAGATTTATTAGAAAATAATAGAACAGTTGAAGATAACAGAGGCAGATGAGTGAACAGACGAACTGACAATGGCTAACAGCGAGCGCCTTTTATAGCGCTCATTTCCCGCGCATTGAGGTCGCAGGCGCCTCAGCGAGGGCAGATCATACGAGAAAACAACTGATCAGACATTAACACAACACCTCCCCCAGTAGGGTAGTTACACAAAACTAGCCTACGGTAAAAGCTTGAACTATAAATACGAACAGCTAAGAAATCGGTCATGCATAGAAATTCAAACAACTACAAAACAAATGAAACAACATACAATAACATATCATGGACTAGGTTGGAACCGTTGTACCGGTCTTCTCGTTCTGCTCGACCTGCGAAGCGTTGTCGGTGGCGTGGAGGGCTCGTGGCTTGATGTCGACGTCGATGTCGTTGAATCCACGGGTGCTGGCGCATTGCTTGCGATCGCTTGCTCGGAAGTCCCTTCAGCAGCTGCCATTCCTATGTAAACTCTCGTCCTCGGTTAGAACATCTAACAATATCTTCAGAGCTTCAGATTGTTGTTTGAGTTGCTGTTGAACGGCAATTTGTTCGCTATCGCTTCGATGCCTTAGCTGGTTTGCATGCTTCGTGCACATCTCGTCGCCAACCATAACTTCATAATTGACACGTCCAATACGCCTCATCACGGTTCCTTTCATCCAGTGGAAGTGGGGTGGCTTCCACTGTTTAGCGTAAACCGTCACCAACTTCGAATTCCTTTCGAACGACTCCATGCTTCTGGTCGAACTGATCCTTCATGCGCTCCCGTCTCCTTCGTGCGAGTGGGTCTTCTGCATCTTCTGTCATCGGGAGTAACAGACTTAAATTGTGCGCAAGTTTCTGCCTAGAAACAACTCCGCTGCCGTCCTGTCGTTCAAGTTCGTGTTTGGTGTTGTCCTATACGCTTGTAACACCAGGTTTAGAGTCTCTTCTGTTGGCCTCTCCTCCCCCTCTAGTTTCTTGAATCCGCGTTTCAGCGTATCAACGAAACGCTCTGCTTGTCCATTTGATTGAGGGTGGTATGGAGCAGTCCTTATGTGGGTAATTCCACTTTCGTCGCACATCTTCTTGAATAAGTCCGATGTGAACTGGGTACCGTTGTCGCTCACTATTGTTTGCGGTAATCCATACCTCGCAAACAAGTTCTTCAAAGCCTTCACCGTCTTCGCAGCTGAGATATTGCTCATCTCGATCAATTTCGGCCATTTGCTGTAGGCATCTACCGCGACCAAGTAGAAAACACCTTGCATAGGTCCGGCGAAGTCGATGTGTATCCTCTGCCACACTCGAGTGGCGGATGGCCATGCTTCTAATGGCACCTTCGTCGGACTTTTGGCTAACTCCTGACATTTCGTACATCTTCATACCAAGTCTTCGCAATCTTTGTCTATATTCGGCCAGTAGACGTAACTTGGGCTACTTTCTTCATCCTTACTATCCCTGGATGACCACTATGCAGTTCCTTCAAAACGTTTCCTCGAAGCTCCTTGGATATCACAACCCTTTCGGCTGACATCAGACATTGCTCCACGATTGACAATGTCCCTCTTTGATTTCGAAAATGTGCCAATTCTCCGTTCACGTCTGGCCACTCCCCTTTCTTCACGTAGGTCGTCACTCTTTGTAGTACTGGATCCTTCTTCGTGTAGGATTGCACATCTATACTGTCACTGGTAGTTTCCTAATACAATTCTTCAACATGTAGTTAACGTCGTTTTCAACGGCAGCTATCACGACGTCTTCTTCGTTACTCTGACTCTTCTTCATCAACCGTGACAAGCCATCAGCTTGTCCGAACTTCGTAGTCTTCACATACTCTATGTCAAAGCCATATCCAAGTAGAATTGTCGCCCATCTCATAAGTCGGTTAGCGGAGTAGACTAGAACTCCCTTCTTATCACCGAAGATGGCTAGCAATGGTTGATGGTCCGTCAGCAGTAGAAACTTTCGCCCAAATATGTACTTGTGGAATTTCTTGACAGCGAAGACAATTCCCAATGCTTCTTTTTCGATCTGCGAATAATTCTCCTCTGCCTTCGTTAAAGATCTCGATGCGTGTGCAATTGGTTTTTCGGATCCATCCGCATATCTATGCGATATCACACAACCGATACCATAGTCGCTTGCGTCCGCTGCCACGACGATCTTCTGCCTCGGATCATAGTGAGCAAGGTTCAGCTCACTTGACAAAGTTTCCTTGAGTTTTCGAATGCTTCTTGATGTGTTCGTGTCCATTCCCACTTCGCATCCTTCTTCAGCATTGCATCTAACGGTCCACGAAGATCCTTGATTTTTGGCGTGAACGCCGCATATACGTTGCCATGCCAAGAAAGGCCCTCAGTTGACTAACATTCTTCGGCTCATCCATACTCTTGATCGCTTCGATCTTCGCTAAGTTCGGTCTTCTGCCATTTCGATCCACTATGAAGCTAAGATATCGTATCTCTGGCTTACCGAAAGAACACTTCTCTAGACGAATTTTGAATCTATATTCGTCGATTCTTGCAAACACAGCTAACAGATTCTCCCTGTGTTCTTCTTCTGTTCGTCCACAGACCAAGATGTCGTCCAGGTAAGTTGCTACTCCTCGCAGACCATTCCCCATCTTGTTCATGATTTGCTGGAAGATCCCTGGTGCTGTCTTGATTCCAAAAGGCAGTTTGTTGTACTAGTAGAGCCCTCTATGCGTATTTATTACAACCATTTTCTTCGCTTCGTCTGACAATTCAATCTGCAGATAGGCGTCCAACAGATCTATCTGCGAAAACACCGTGCCTCCATTGAGAAATGCGAATATATCCTCCGGCTTCGGCAACGGGTAATCGTACGACTCCAGCGCTTTGTTGAGTCCAGTTGAAAAGTCAGCGCACACTCTCAACTTTCCATTCGCTTTCCTGACACATACGATGGGCGCTGCCCATTCACTGTGTGTCACTGGACTTATGACGTTTAGCTCCAACAGCCTAT